GACTCCCAAAATGTGCTGTGAGCGAGAGAGCCCTCAATTCTACCTCATCTCACCCAGGTGAGGGCTGCAGTCAGCAGGTGTCATATTATCAAGGCAAATATCAGTCACAGCTTCCCACCCATCCTGTTAGCTGTGGGAATTTCCTCCCTGACTTTACTTCCCTGGGAGTGTTTGGGTGGGATGTGGAGGCAGAATCCAGTGTCTCCATCTCCCCAATAGTTACTGTGTTGTGTTTTCCCTCTTTGCTATTCCCCTTTCTGTCCTTTCTCCCCGGCACAGGCAGTGACTCCTGTCTGGATGCTCTCTCCCCCAGCAGGTGATAGGACAGTGAGTGAGAACAAGGAGGAGAATCATCAGGAGGAAGTTCCTGGGAAAGTGGAATTGCAGGAGATGGTTTTGAGAAGAGCTGAAGGGAATTTTTCCCAGTGCTTGGAACAGGGAAATGCCTGGGGGGATGGACACAGATCAGAGATGCATCTGGGAAACTATCCTAGGAAGAAACTGGATGAATCCATTCAACGTGGCGGAGGATGCAAGGATCCCAAGGAAACCACAGTCCAGCAGACAAGTCACAGTGAAGAGAAACTCTACAAATGCCTTGACTGTGGGAAAAGATTCCGTTTCAGTGCAAACCTTATAATTCATCAGCGAACCCACACTGGAGAGAGACCTTACAAATGCCTTGAGTGTGGGAAAAGCTTTAGTCAGAACTCACCACTTATTACACATCTGAGAAACCAGACAGGAGAGAGACCCTATGGATGCCTTGAGTGTGGGAAAAGCTTTATGGAAAGTTCATCCCTTACGAAACATGGGAGAATCCACACAGTGGAAAGACCCTATAAATGTCTGGAGTGTGGGAAAAGTTTCAGTTTGCTATCAACCCTTAATTCACATCAGAAAACCCACACAGGAGAGAGACCCCATAAATTCTTGGACTGTGGGAAAGGCTTCATTCAGAAGTCACAACTTATTATACACCAGAGAGTGCACACAGGGGAGAGACCATATAAACGCCTTGAGTGTGGGAAGAGCTTCATTAAGAGCTCAGCGCTTACCAAACATCAGAGAATTCACAAGGGTGAGAGACCCTACAAATATCTTGACTGCAGGAGAAGATTCAATTTGACTTCACATTTCAGTGATTTAAATGATAAAGAGACCTTGAACACGGGGGAAGCTTCATTTGGTGCTCCTGGAGTATCAGGCATCCGCAAATCCGCACATGGAAGGAATCTCTGAGATGTTCTCAGTGTGGAAAATGCTCCAATTGGAGCTAACACCATGTTGGACATCGGAGACTCCTCCGCACAGCAGGGAAATTCTCTCAGGGCCTTGACTAGAACTGGCCATGGTGACAAACCCATTTCCTCATTCCCACACACATCAGGGGCATTTGGCTCCCAAGGACCCAGCTGCCCATCACTGGGGTGAGGATCCAACAGCAGCCGAGCATCAGCTGGTCAGTGATCCTCTGGCTCTGCCTGGTCTCAGCAAACCCCAGGCAGAGGAGGAGAAGCCCCCATCAGCCCCTCCCCTCTGCTGCAGCCCTGGCTGCTGAGCTGATGGGACACAGGCGGGGGAAGGAAGAGGGACAAAATCCTCGAGATGCTCTCCCTGCCTGGCTGAAGTTCCCCCCTCTCCCTTCCCCTCCCAGCCAGGATCCCCCTGCCATGGACATGAGGAGAAGAACACTTGGTCCATGCCCCACCTTCACTCTAGACACCTGTCCCCACCCCCCATCTTCCACCAACCCCTGTGCTGTGCTCCCGCACTTAACTGGAGTGTCCCTGGGAGCTGGTAACTCCTCCCCTCCCCAAATCCCCCAGGGTGCTGGGTTCTGGGAGATCAGAGGTTAAGGGACCAGGGTGATGGGTTATGGGAAGGAATGGTGGGGGCTGGTGGATCTGGGAATCAGGGGGAGCTGGGTACTGGGGTATTGAGTGTTTGGGGATCATGGGATAAGAGGTGAAGGAGAGCACTAGGGTAGAGATGTGCTGCCTCATCTCTCTCCTCCTCTGCCCCCTATGCCTTCAGACAGCACCACTGAGAGGGGCTGATTCCCACAGGGCCTTTTCTTGGAAGCCTGGATTTCCCACCTCTGCTACACAGCATCAGCCTCTGAGAGGGAAGCAGCACTGCCTAGTGGATAGAGCACTGGCCTGGGACTCAGGAGACCTAAGCTCTGTTCCCAACTCTGCCAGGAGCTTGCAGGGTGACCTGAGACAAATCTGTGCCTTACAGAGAGGGAATAAATGGGGAGTGATAATATCAGCCTCCGAGCATCTGTCTACGGCAGGAAAAGTGGTTGGGATTATCTAGGGCATCTCCTGTATTCCTCCTCCCCTTTTTCTAGTCTAGACTGACCCTAGCAGTTTATTTCAACCCCACATTAGCAAAGTGATTGTTAGAGTCACTAAGTGCCCCCTTTGCAGTGAGATTGTCTGGGAATGAGACATCCTCTTACTGCTCCAGTTATGCTGAAAAGCATTTAATTTTTGGTGCTGTTTCTCCCTTATACACCAGCATTCAATAGATTCTAAAAGAGCTGGAGCAGGGATAGTAAAGAATGTCGTGTTTTACCTTCTGTGTTATTGGAGAGGGACGGGGTGAGTCCGGGGAATTCCCTCCTGCCCCCATCAACCTCACACATCTTCTCTGACAGAGCAGCCTCTGCCCAAACTGTGGAGAATTTATCCTCTTCCCATTCTACCCCTCCACCTTCATCTGTGTCATTTACCACAGTGTCCTTTGCCCACCATGCTTAGGAATCAGGCTTTGACTTCTTTGATCCTCAGTCAGGACCCTGAGGGCTGGAGAAGAAAATATCACATTCCTGAAGGGGGAATTCAAATGAACCCCAAAGAACAGTATCAGCTTCAACCCCAGCCTCCAACTATTGGTAAAGTGGCATCTGGAGTTTTTCCAGCCAGATCCAGATCATTTGCATATAGGACATTTTTGGTGAGGTTTGTCTTTTTTTCTTTTTTCTTTTATTACAGTGATGCTAAAACTTTTATCAATAACACAGACAAATAATGCGGCGGTGCTGAGGAAAGCAGGTTTAGCCTGCTCAGAAGGAAATGGGTAAAATTGTTCTCCAGATTTTGAGTCTTAAGATTCTCTGGGGTTTCACTTCATGAACGGGAAAGTGGTTTGTAGCCCACCCTGGTTTGTGGGTTTTTCTCTTTTTGGTGAAGGCTGTTCTGTCACGTGTTTGACAGGATGTAGCTCAGATTTCCTGGTGACTTCAAAAGACAAATGGTCATTTGCCAAAATAGTCCTTTCTGATTTTCTTTTCATATTTCCCTAGCTTTTGTCACAAGATTTTCTTGTCCTTTGAACAATTAAAATAATCAGTATTTATCTGCAAAAACACTTGAGGACAAGTGCTGGATACACACTCCGAGAGTCAGAGACTGAAATGGGGAAGGAAGTTACTGCCTGATCCCTGCAGAGATATGAGATATAGTCAGGACGGGGGGAGTGGGGGTAGGTGGATAGGGCCTTGAAAGGGCACTGTTTGCTCTTGTGATCCAGAGAGCTGAGGCTGAGAACTGTGAATTCACTGCACATGTCCCAGAGAGAGAGGAAATGTCCTACAAGTGCTGGGTGAAGTCGTCCTTGAACTCTAAAGGGCTACCAATGATGCCCCAAGAGGAGTGATGTGGAGAGGGGTCAGCGACTCCCCATTGCTGAGAGGAGGAGGGAGGGCAAATGCCTCTCATGGATTGTTAGCGCTTTTCTACCAGCTTTAACTTGTTCCTCTTCCCTGGGGCGTATGTGTGGCTGGAGCAGTAATTTGCTGGGCTGTGGCTGAAATGCACCGTGCCAAGCTGGGCGTTGGATTTTGTGGGGACGGAGGATTTAGCTTTTATTTCTTGCTTTGAAAAGAACGAAGTAGAATATAGTTTCTCAAACTCCGAATGTCCCTTTCTTGAATAATAGGGGGGAGGGGGGGGGGAATGGTCTTTAATGGACTCAGATGCTGTCTGGCTGTCACCCATTGATGCAGCAGGGGAAAAGGCTGGTATCATTCTGGGATGTATTAACGTGAGTGTTGTATGTCAGTTGCGGGAGGTCGTTGTCCCGCCTGCTCAGCCCTGGGGAGGCCTCAGCTGGAGTCCTGTGTCCAGTTCTGGGCACCACACTTTAGGAAAGACAAATTGGATTGAGTCCCCAGGAGAGCAACAGAAAATGATCAAAGATTTAGAAAACCCGACCTGTGAAGGAAGGTAAAAGAAGTGGGTCTTAGTCTTGAGAAAAGCAGACTGGTGATGGTCTGCAGCCACGCTAAGGGCTGTTATACAGAGACTGGGGATCAGTTGTGTTCCATTGCCACTGAAGGTAGGATGAGAAGTACAAGTGTTAAACTGCAGCAAGGGAGATTTAGGTTCGATATTAGGAAAACTTTCTAACCATCTGGGTATTTGAGCTCTGGAATAGCTTCCAAGGGAGCATGTAGAATCCCCAGCATTGGAGGTGTGTTGGTGTTTTAAGCCCCTTGGAGGTATTATTTCGCCATTCCTGAGCTCCACACACTGCAGGTTTTGACTCTGACATTTTCTTGGGATGCCCCAGACTGTGAGTCTCCTTGTTACCCACCTTCCTCAGTGTGAGGGAGACGTGCTTCTGCTGAACTGGGTGTCCATCCCCTGTCACTCCCAGCCTTTTAGCTCCCCAGATAAACTCCCCGGGTCTCTGCCAGTCCTTACTTTTGCCTTGCAGGTTCACACTAGGCGCAACCTCGTCCTCCAGCTCCTCTGACATGTCCTTGTGCAGTGTCCAGCCCCTCTCCACTGGACACTCAGAAATTCCCAGGTGAGCTGTCCCCAAAGGGACAATACCAGCTTGTTTGATTCAACTGAGGGTCAGCGCCAATGTAACATCACAGCACTGAGATATAGTGTTAGTGAAAACGAAGAGGAGTTTATCAACAAAGCAATAAGACCAACATATCAAACACCAGGTATATCGCGATTCAGACAGTCTGAGTTTAACCAGTAAAGGTATAAACAAGTCATTGTATGAAATGTTAGTTTGTCCTGACTTTGCTAGTGCTTTTTATTTAGCCTGTTGCAAAGCGAGGCAAATATCTAGATGAGTTGAGGTACCCCCTGAAAGACCTCTGTGTACCTCCAGTGATACGTGCACCCCTGGTTGAGAACCACTGCTATATACAAACAGGACTTCAATTGTGTTCCTTACAATGCTTCATCTACCTATGAACTGTGGGAGAAAGATCACGGGATATACCTTTATCTGACAAAACCGGTTTGCCAACTCTTCCTGGATTCAGACTTTAAAACAGTTTCTGGTATATAAGCGTATTCCTTAAAGATCATCTGCCCACACTTCTTGCAATGATCCTGAGGAACAGTGTGACCTGAGCCTTTATTAGAGACTGCCCATGACCCGTGGTGGATAAATACTATGAAAGCAATGCATGAGGAGTAGTGAGTTTGTCAGGTCCGATAGGCCTTGCCCTCATAGAACAATGCACCCTTTTCCGGTCAACACTGGAGCTCATGTCATACCCATGGGCCGTGGGTAAAACCCCCCCTTTGGGGAGGCTAGCCCCCCGGCCCCACCTCTTCTGCCTGAGGCCCTGCCCCTTCCAGCCCCCCTCACCCACCAGAGCCCCGAGCCATCCCCCCCTCTCCATCATGGCTGGAGGAGCATCGAACCCAGCACCTGCCTGACCCCAAGCTGGCCTGTGCACCAGCACAAGACGCTTGCCCAAGGTGTCCCGACGAGGGACACAGGGAGCAGTGGGAACCTCCGGGGGTGTGAAGGTGGAGTGGGCGAGAGACGAGGGACTCACAAGGCAGCGCGTAGGTGGGAGTCTCGGGGAAGGGGCGAAGCAAGGAGGGGAAGAGGTGGACCGCAGGCAGGACCACCACAGCTCAGGCGTCTGGTGGTGGCTGCGCATGGGGAGGCTAAGCCTATTACCCATGCTCAGAACAGAGCTGCCAATTCTTCAGCTTTTCCGACTCTTTTAGGGGTTGGTAGGGAAAATGTTTCCTCTGCAGTGGAAATCCCTTCTGGCTGGCATTTCCCATTAGGGTTGCCAGGTGTCTGGTTTTCGACCAGGACACCCGGTTGAAAAGGGACCCTGGCGGCTCTGGTCAGCTCTGCCAACCAGGCCGTTAAAAGTGCAGTCAGCAGTGCTGCAGGGCTAAGGCAGGCTAGGCCCTACCTGTCCTGGCACTGCGCTGTGCCCCAGATGGGGCCAGCAGGTCCGGCTCCCAGGTGTGTGTCAGGGGAGCATGAGGTTCTGTGCACTGCCCCTGCCCTGAGCACTGGCTTCTCATTCCCACTGGCCGGGAACTGTGGCCAATGGGAGCTGGGGGCGCAGTGCCTGTGGGCGAGAGTGTGGAGCCATGCCCCCTCTCCCCCCTCCCATAGGAGCCAGACCTGCTGAACGCTTCTGGGGAGCAGTGCAGAGCCAGGATACAATGAGGGGGAAACGGGATAATCCTGAGTGGGCAGAGCACCAGTCCCTGACTCAGAGCAACAGGAGTTTTGCTGCTGACATCCAGGTGCCCGATGGGGAGCTGCGGTCAGTGCCCACACAGGGGAGCCAGCTGGGAGAGGGGCAGAGGGGATCCCTGGGAAGGGGGTAGACATGAAGGGGTTTAAATAGAGCCCAGGGGTGGGTTCATCTGGACCTACAAGTAACCAGCAGAACCCAGTGGCAAACCTCTGATAGCTCCATGACCCGAGGGAGGGGAGCTGAGCTGGGAGCTCCTGCGCAGGGCTGGTAGCCAGCGAGTGTGGTGTGGAGACAAGAGACCAGCTCTGCCCAACTGCTCCCTGTGCCAGTCTGTTACCAGAACAAATCACACACAGAGTGTCCCGGCTCCCCTCGCCCCTGGAGTCTCTGGAACAACACGAGTCTCCCTAGAAACCCCCTTCTGCCCCCTCCCCGGGATCTGCACGTCTCCCTTCTGTCCCCCCATTGATCCTATTGGGATCCAGGCAAGATCTACATAGCTCTGGGAGAAGCTGCCCTGCCTCGGGGAGGTGGGGCCCCCAGGGGGCAGGGTCTGGGGCAGGGGGCTGCAGCGCGATGAGTTGATCGCTAGGACCCAGGAGCAGCTGGGAAGCGGCTCTGGGGGGAGCGATCGCTGGGCTCAGGCCCGGCAGCAGGAAGTGACTCGCAGCCGCTGTGG